CACACACACACACACACACACACACACACACACACACACACGGGTGTTAAAACATTTAAAGTTGGTTGCCAGCTATCTTTAAACTGACAGTTTGCTAAAGGAGTCATATCTTAGGGTTGTTATTCTTGTGATGAAATACAATGGCCAAAAGCAACTTGGGGAGGTAAGGGCTTAATTTACATAGCCCAGAGTAATAGTGCATTGAGAGAAGCCAAGGCAGGAACTTAGACTGAGTAAGATCCTGGAGACAGGAGCTGAGGCAGAGGCCATAGAGGGGTGCTGCTTGCTGGCTTGCTCCTTATGGCTTGCTCTGCCTGCTGTCATACAGAACTCAGGACCACCATCCCAGGGATGGCCCCACCTACCATGGGCTGGGCCCTCCCAAATAAATGACTAATTGAGAAAATGCTTTCCACCTACCTACAGCCTGATGCTATGGAGGCATTTTCTTGGTTGAGGTTCTAGCCTCTCTGATGACTGTAGCCCATGTCAAGCTACTTTAAAATCAGCCAGCACAGGGTATGACTGGGAGTCACTGCTGGAAGGGAGGAGTTCTTGCTGACTCGGGTCAAGGGCAGCCTGGAGGCGTCAGCACTTTGGAGTAGCGAGCCTTCTGCTGGGGGCTCTTGGCTCCCATCTCTTTGCAGGTGACTGTCTTGGTGCTTCAGGGCCGGTTGGATGAGGCACGACAAATGCTGTCCAAAGAAGCTGATGCCAACCCCTCCTGTGCAAGCATGTGCCGCATCCTTGGGGACCTGATGAGGACAATGCCCATTCTCAGTGTATGTGGGAGCCTCCTTGCCTGCCCGGCCTTGGGAGATAGGGATCAGGGAACGTGTAGGTCTGGGGTCTCAGTGTCTCACAGCAGGCCTGTCCCGTCCCGCAGCCTGGCAACACTCAGACGCTGACTGAACTGGAGCTGAAGTGGCAGCACTGGCGTGAGGAATGTGAGCGGCACTTGCAAGACAGCACGTTCGCAGCCAGCCCCCGCCTGGAGGCTCTCTGCAAGGTGTGGGCGGGGGCAGGCCAGGGCTGGGCACTTCTTTGGGAACCTGGCATCCAGGCAGCAAGCAGCTGGATTTTCTTTGGAGAGGGCTGTCCGGTCACTCGGCTGCAAAGGAGGGAGAGCTTTCAGCTTCTAGTTGAGGCCCCCGATGAGATCGGCAGAGTCCTAAGTCTTCTGTGAGGACAGAGCTCAGAGAATGTCTCTCCTCAGATCATGCTGGGGGATGAGGCCACCTTGTTGGAGCACAAGGAGCTTCTGAGCAACTGGTACCATTTCCTAGTGACTAGGCTGCTGTATTCTAACCCCACAGTGAAACCCATTGACCTGCACTTCTATGCCCAGGTGAGTGAGTGACAGTGTAGGGGGATTCCTTGGGACCCTAATTCTTTCCTTCAGTCCTCTGTGAAGGAACTCCTCTCCAGACGGCCCACCCCCACTCCCACCCGCACCCCCACCCCCACCCCCAGTCTCTGCTTCCATCTTGGGAGATTGAGTTGGGCTATCACCTTCCACAGTCTAGCCTGGACATGTTTCTGGGGGGTGAGAGCAGTCCAGAGCCACTGGACAACATCTTGATGGCAGCCTTTGAGTTTGACATTCACCAAGTGATCAAGGAGTGCAGGTAAGGCACCCTCACTTTAACTGGGCTTTTTTGTTTT